CTTAAAAATGTAAATCAGTCTCTTTTGTCTTAGATGAGGTCATTCCAGCTGGCATGGGAATGAAGACCCTTTTAGTCTTTTAAATAGCTGTTGTGTTCTTTACCATCTCAGCTTTAAATATGTTCTGATATTAATTTGGTTTTTTAAAAAAACTCTGTTTTTTTTAAACTGTTTCCAAAGAAAAACGTTATTAGCGATGACTATTTGCAGTTGTTTAGGACTGCAAAGCTTGGTGGTTTTGGTATCTGGCTGAGGAGCCAGAGGTTGGGAGTTTGATTCCCCCACGGTGCTTCCTGGGGGAAAAAGCCAGCCTGTGTAGCCTTGGGCAAGCTGCACAGTCCCAGAGCCCCCCCCCCAGAACATGGGAATGGTAAACCACTTCTGAGTCGTCTCTATCTGGAAAATCTTGAAAAGGGCTGCCATAAATCCAGATAGAGAAGACTCAGAAGTGTTTTACCCTTCCTTTCCTCTAAGGGTGCTCTGGGACTGTGCAGCTGGCCCAAGGCTACCGAGGCTGGCTTTTCTCCCAGGAGGTATCGTGTGGGGGAATCAAACTCTTAACCTCTACTGAACACACTGAGGTATCCAGCCAGCTCAAGGTTTTCAAGGCATATGAAATATTTCAGGGGTGCTTTTACCATTGCCACCTCCGAGTGTTTCCATAGCTGTGCAGGAATTTGAACCCAGACCTTTTTGTGTCCTAGTCCATATAGTGGCTCTTGTTTCTCGCTTCGCTTCCATAAATGTCACCCTGATTTTTGAAAATATCAACTGCATGGAAAGGAGAGGGGAAGAAAAAAAATGAATTGAATTGAGGATGGGTTCCCCTCCTTACCCCATTGAGATTTTCAGACTTTTATGCTCACACAAATTGCAAAAGGTGTCTCACGCCTGGGATCTGGCGACCAAAAAAAAAAAAAAACCGTCGCATTCCCAGGGCATGGAAAGGGCGCTGGGTTAATGCTGATGGATGTATACGGGTCCCTGGGAACGCAAAGCGCTCCAGATGGTCTCTCAAGCTGGTAACTGCAAAGGGAAGTGGGCTTTAAAGCTGGGCACGCTTTTTTTGTCCTCCCGGTGAATGTCATCAATGGGCGAGAAAGTGTGGGAAACCCTGAGAAACCCCACCCCAGATGCTGGGGTTAATAGGGGTATTGTGGGAAGGAGTCTCCTTGAGAACTGGGATCAACATACCAGAAAAGGGAGGTGGAAAAGCCGGAATGGATGGGATAGCATGGAATGGAAGAGACCCTATGGATTGTCAAGGAAGCCACAGAAGGGAATCCAACTCTGAATTGCACAGACATGGCAAATCTTCTGGAAAACGGACATGTCGTAGCACATATTCCTCTCAGGGAATGGGAAATGGACTATGGGCTCAGCTGACTTATTTAGTTCTACGTAAGTGTAGAATTTGATGGTGAAGCAAGACAGGAAGCCATGTCATGCTGAGTCTGACCAGTAGAGGGCAGTGACTCTGACAGTGCCAGGCCAGTGAATCCGTGCGGGGTTTCGGTCCGACCTTTAGAGTAGCCCTGGGTCCGGTTTGAACTTCAAAGAAACTCTGGATTTTTGTTTAATTGAATTCTGGGTTTTAGTTTGAACTCTCAAGGAGTTATGCAAGGTACTGAACCCTGTCCACCCTCTGAAGACCTTCAGCATTTGAGATCCATCCTTTAAAGTTTGGATTAAAACCCAGCATGGATTCACTCTCCCCACAGCGTGGGAAACGCCACCGTTCATTGTCAACCACCCATCTCGTTGAATATTGCAAACACTGATTTCCTTTGATTTGGATTCCTGCACTGAGCAGGGGGTTGGACTTGATGGCCTCCGAGGTCCCCTTCCAACTCCATCATTCTAAGATTCTATGAAATATCTGGGGTGCAGGCGTTCAGGATATGTGGTTATGTATTGACTGCCTTCTGAGATTTAGAGTTAACCAAAACAAACAAACGCCAGATGGAAAGACGCAGTTTTGGAACAGAATTCTCAAGTCTGTTTAATGGATCCCAGTATTTTTTACATTTTTTTTTTTTTGCTAAAATCCAAAAAAACCCCAGGAGGGAGATACAAGGATGACATGCTTATTTACTGTGCTCCATTCCAGGTTTTGCACCTCCCTGGATAATCCCTAACCCTGTCTGGGAAGAAAAACCTCTCCGAAGGGAGGGTAAGAGGGTGCCCTGCAGATTTAAAGTCAATCCTAGTTCTGGCAGGGGACCTGTGTTATTTGGAAATGTTTTTAAAACAGTGAACAATTTCAGTCCCCATCAATCTGCAAGGGATGTCATTTTGCGCCTCGGGGTCTCAAAATAAGTAACTTTTCTTCAAGAAGCATGTGCCATACGGACCGATTCGATAAGGCATCGGTCCCTTTTTCTCCCTCCAAACCCCTGGTCTGAGAAAATTCATGCACAATCTAAAAGGTTCTCAGGTGCAAAGAACAAGCGGACCCATGTATACTTTTTTAAATGATGGGATGGATGGCATGTGGTTAGAACCCACCCAGATTCAGACCACAGGCTGCTCCAGGAGCCAGAGCATCATCTTAGCGCTGCCAGGAGCCATGATGTATTTCTTATTTTGAACCGTACCTTTTCAAGATCAGTTTGTGATTTGTTATACAGTCGAAGTCTCTCCGTCTGGTCACCTGGGCCACCTCTGGCCTGTGTGAAAGGGAATGCTAGTGAGAGGCAGTAGGGTATAGTGGAGAGAGTGATGGTCTGGGACTCAGGAGACCCGGGTTCAAAGCCCCACTGAGCCTGGGGAACTCCCTGGAGCCTGGCTCTGGTAGTAACCGGTCCTTCCACATCTCATAGGTCTTAAAATTCATCTTTGCTGTCCTTCCGCAAGCAGGGGAAGGCCTTTGCCTTCAGACAAGCCTCACCTCCGTGTCCTCTTTCTAGATAGATTGTTATGCCTCACTGCTTTGACTGTGTGTTTTAGCATGGTTTGTGTTTCCTAATTCCCAGAGTGGTTTGTGTTTGTTCGTTTTTCAGATTTTGATAGCTCATGCTTTTCAGCTTTAAATATTTGCCTTTTAAGGATGTACACCACCTCTGTGTTTGTTTGTGTGTGTGTGTGTGGCCACCTTTGTGTTTGTGTGTGTGTGTGTGTGAGAGAGAGAGAGACGGAGAGAATGAGGATCTGTTAATTGCTATGCTTTTCCAATCAGACCATGTATCAACTGCTTGGGTGTCACACACTCTGTTAATTGCCATGCTTTTCCAATCAGATCATGTATCAACTGCTTGGGTGTCACACACTCTTTCACTGAGATCGCTCTTAAAACATCCCATAATATAAAGGACGGAAAAGCAAATCTTTGAGGTTGAACTTCACTTCTCTTTTGCCTGGCTCCGGTTTTCCACAACGCCTAGGAACCTACAAATGGACGTTTCCTAATATACCTCCCACACACACACACAAAATCATGTGCTCACGTGTACACAGCCACTAACCCTGGAGGTTCTGTTTAGCTCTCAGGACGTTCAACTGCAAAGCATTCTCTCCCGTGAATTTCTCTGATACCCACTTTCAGAGCCACCTGAATCCATGGCCAGCACCACATCTTGTGGCAATGAGTTCCACAGGGTAATACACTTGTGGACAGAGCTACATTCTTAAGCTAGAAACCTACTGCTCGTCACTTCCCATGGCTTAATGGGAGAGCCATCCTTGGCCTTTGCTTGTTCTTATAAACCATGGGTGCCCCCTCTCTCCTGGTGTCCCTTTGCAGTATCTTAATTTTGGATTTCGTTTAGGCATCTGGCTGCAGAGCCAGAGGCTGGGAGTTTGAATTCCCCTACTGGGCCTCCTTGACAGGGGGGTGGACTGGATGATCCAGAGGGTCCCTTCCAGCTCTGCAGTTCTAAAATGATGATGATCTAATCTGCAAGCCAGCATGACTAGCAGGGGTGTTTGTGTATGTATGCAATCACACACACAACCCTTGGTTGTTCCTAGCAAGTTCATAACAGAGGTGAGATTTGAACTCTGGGTCATCAGAAACTTCTTTACCTAGTTGTTGTATATCTGAAAGGAAAGATAATTTCACAGACAAACACACACATATACAAAAGCTTCTTTTAATCTCCTTTAATTGACTTTTCTATCAAAGACTTTCAACTCATACGCACACGATACCACGTGACTTTATAAAAGCATTCCAGATCATTCACCTTTGGAAAAATATTTGTATATATACATGTACATACAATACTTCCTCCTTATAAAAGATACATAAATCCATATTCCTTTACAAAAGGCATCTGATTTATCTCTCAAAACAAGAGAAACATACACACAGATAAAACAAAACCTAACAGAAATGTTCCCTAGAGTTTTCTCACTGATGATACAGCTAATTCTGGAGAAAATGAACCCAAGAAGTGAAAGGTGTCAAGAGTTGTTAAATTCAATACTCATCTGCTTTTGAGACCTCGTTTACCATTTCCACCCCCCAAGTAAGTTTCTGTGGCTAAGTGGGGATTTGAACCCGGGTCTCCCGAGCCATCGTCTGACAATGGCTCTCAAAAAGGGCGACGGCTTTGACCATTTGGGGATCCACCCCTCTCTGTGAATCGAAGCATCACGTCCGGGCTGCCTCTTTAAGCAGACAAGGGCTGATGATGTAAAAAGCCTTCGGCAATAAGAAAGTTAAAACCTCAATTTTTCCCCGAATTAAGTGCATTGCACAATAAGACCTGTGGCTTAGATGCACCCCCCAGAGAAAAAGAGAGGGACTAAATATTTTGATGCAAACTACGGCTTCCCCTCTGAATGCCGCCACAAACAGGGCCGGCCTCGTTCATTCCTTCAGCAGATGCTGTTGAAGTCTTCGGCCGTGGCCTCCGATTTCGTAGCGAGCCACGCAACCCTTCACTGTGAAGGAAGACAACTCGGCGCGGTACATTAAGCACTCCGTTGTGCTACATGAAAACACAACAAACAAACAACCCAACCAAAACACACCTTCCCCGTTTTGGAAACACAACATTTCCTACTTTTTAAAGAGGGACGGTTGAAAATCAAAGATCCCTCTAGGTCTGAGCATTCCCAATTTTTGCAAACAGAGAAGTGTCCGGGAAAGTCCTTCTGTGTCTCTACCACGGTCTCCAGAGGGTAGCGGAGACACCTGGCGGGGTCTTGTTGGCCAGCGGTTTCTTCGACCGGGGGCAAGGGGATGCGGGCGGGGGTCCCTGGGCCGTGGCCGTCGGGCGCGTGGCATCTGCAAGCGCGTGGACTTTGCAGAAATGTTTGATCAGCTGCGTTTGGGTTTCTCTCTCGGGTCCGCACAAGGAGAGGAAGTAGAGTGCCTCTCTTAGACAACGCAGGTAGCCGGTGTTGAAGTCCAGTTCTGGATTCTTGAGGCCAAAAGCTAGCAAGGAACAAGAGAGAAACACATCAGTTTGGAGGCCAGACTCTAGGATGGCCGATCTCCCACCTCCGATTGCATGAACATAACCTCATGAAACAGGCCACGGAGACAGGGGGAGAAGCGGTCACGCTTCGCGGCTATAATGGAGCTCTTTAATGCCGATCTAACCATGTCAAGGAACTATTTGACACACGTGTATTGCTAAGCAGCTGGCTGCAAGTCAGCTGGCCTTTCCTTCCCCAAAAAAATATAGCCACACGATCTGGGAATGTGGTCCCTCCTTCATCCTTATTTCAAGGTGTGCACCGAACCCAAATAATTTGTACACACAGAGCCTTAGACCTTGACTTGTGGGAAACCTGAGTCAACCCCGTTGCTGCTTCAAATAACTGACCGCCCCTTCTAAAATGTCATCATCACCATCTCCTGTCCAGGAGGCCCAGCGGGGAATCGAAAGATTTCAAGGTGTGCACTGAACCCAAATAATTTGTACACACAGGGCCTTAGACCTTGATTTGTGGGAAACCCTGTTGCTGCTTCAAATAACTGACCACCCCTTCTAAAATATCATCATCACCATCTCCTGTCCAGGAAGCCCAGCGGGGAATCGAACTCCCAGCCTCTCGCACTGCAGCTAGAGACTTCCACCACCTTTCCATATTCATATTACTTCAGCTGCTTGCCCCATTTAAGCCTGCCTCTTCAGGTTTACCTACAAAAATGTGGTGGACTACAACTCTCATCATTTCTAGGGGGCCACACAAACTAGGGGAACGCTGGGCATTGCAGTCCCCTCTCCAAAGAAAGAAAGAAAGAAAGAAAGAAAGAAAGAAAGAAAGAAAGAAAGAAAGAAAGAAAGAAAGAAAGAAAGAAAGAAAGAAAGAAAGAAAGAAAGAAAGAAAGAAAGAAAGAGAAGCAAGC